CTCTGTGGACCTTCTTCACTTTCTTTGTGAATTCCTCCTGTGCTGCACAGAACTCAAGTAGACTTCTAACATCCATGATGTTCTGTAATGAGGAATTCGACAGCATAAGTGAAGAGCTGTCTCCTCTTCAGGACCTGCTACCTCCTTGCTTCCTTTTATGATCCTTTGGTTTTGTATCAGGAGAAGACAACTAATAACTGTTGTCAATTCACTTTCTCAATGACACTTATAGATCCCCATGAAATCTTCCCCCATCTCCCTTTGTCGTAGCATCGTAGGAGGCACAGTCTATTCAGCTGCAGCTCACTGGAAGGTGTTCCCACATCCCTGATCATCTCTGACACTACTCAGCACATCTTTTCAGTTCTGCCATATTCTATTTGAATAGAGGGAGCCAGAACTGTACACAGTATTCATTACACCAGTGACTGCATATTTACAATCAAATATCAAGTTTTTATTTTCTCCACTTTTAATTTATTGGTTTTTTTCACTACTATTGCTCATCCTTGAGTTGACATTTTCCCAGAGCTATTTACTATAAGCCTAATATTTCACTCCCAAGTGGCTCTGTGTCCGTCCAGATTAAGTCTGAATTCCACCAGTGCCCCCATGCAATAACTTACATTCATCCACTCTTCATCTTCCACCTCACTGCCCAGCTGCTCATTACTGCCACATCCTTCTGGGGCTCTTTGCATCTGGCCTCATCTTTCCCACCCAGAACAAAGCTTTCTCAGCTGTTCTTATTGTAAGTTTATTCTGGCTATATTCAAGGATAGACAAGAAGAAGATGCAGAAGGAGAGGTGGTTTTCTACAATATTCCTGTGACTGACTGGCAAGCAAGAAGCTTCCCAGAGCATCTACTACTCTGTTAACCAAACTCTCTGGAGGACTGAATTCACCCCAGCTCAGCCTGGCACAGGTCCTCCTTCTATTACCAATGATATGGGAACAGAAATCACAAAGCTTTAGGAGCTCAAGTAAATTCCCTGTTCAGAGGAAAATATGCAAGTTAAAGGTTATTTTTTTTTATTCAGCTTCCTGGTCTGATATGGAGTAATTAGAGGAATTAACCTGTGCCTTAGTTCTCCAGGAATGCAACAGGGATAATAACTTTCGTTCCCTCACAAATGACCTGATCAAATAAAATCCACTAATGGCTTTAAAGCACTCTGATACCAGAACAACAATGATCCTAATGTAAGAATGCTAATATTTCTATGGGAGTATCTTCTGTACTTCTTGCCATTGTTACCTGTGGCTCAGGTAGATGTTTGTTTTCAGACAAGTATTTACTTCAAGAATATCTCCTGCTCCCAATAGAAATCCTGACAGCTTCTTCTCTCCCTCCTGTCTTTTCCAGCATTAATGCTATTGTATTTGTTTAATGGGGTTAATATGCTGCTGGTATAATAATGATCATGTATGGATGTAATTATTATGTGTGATTAATTCTACAGCTGCTGAAAAGCTTGGAGGACTTTTCTTAGGCGGGGGAATAACTTTGCAATAGTTCTTCTCAAATTGTGTTACACGCAGACATAAACCCCAAAAGAAATCACTGAAGGAGAAAGAACTAAGGCTGGATTAGAGGAAAGAGAGTTGCACCCAGCAGAGCAGCTGATGAAGGTTTAGCATCACATGGGAAGAGACATCTCCCTATTTTGTGTTTGTACACTGACTAGCTCAAATGATTCCTGGTCCATCACTAAGATCCCAAGGTACTACTACCCAGCTCATAGTATGTAACTGTCTATAAATTTTTAAAGACATGTCTGCCAGTGCTGTAGGCTTCTCTTACTACTTTTTTATATAATAAACATCCTTTAAATGAACCCACTGTGTTTTATTCTAAGAAGATACAAGACCACAGACCAAAATATGAACTCCTACAAAATACTAGCACAGGTTAATGATTTTTACAAGAACCAAAGAGAATGAAGAGCATAGCACACAAGCCATTAGCACTAAAATACTAAGGGTGTCCACATCTGACAAAACTGTAGATGCTTTTCTGCATGAGGCTTTTTGGCACACACTGATAATTTACGGTCCAATGCTGCAGCCATACTCTTGAGTGCTCTTAAGTGCTCTGAGTGATAATGGATCTATTTGCAGGATCAGAGATTGTAGGCTCAGTCCTATAACTCAGCATGTTCCCCAGAACAATACCTGGACACTTATCCTTGTCCAAACTATCCTTAAATCCCACATATGTGACCTGAAGAGAAGACACTGCCTGCAAGATTAAAGTTTCTCTAAGCTGTCCAGCTGTTTTCTAACCCATTTGTTACCCACATAAGCACCCATGACTTTGATATTTACCTGACTCAGTTTAAAGGTATAAGAGAAGGAGATGTGCCAAGGAAAAGCTGAGACATGCACAATCTTTCTTTTCTTCTCCAGAAAACCAAGTGTTTCAGCCTCTAGAGTCTTACACCTAAAATCACCAATGCTCCAGTTCAGTTCCTTCTTCTGCACACAGTGAAATCCCTGTGCAAGGATGCCAAAAAGGGAGCACACATGCTGTAGGACTACAGGTGGCAGAGAAGAGGGTTAAGATGGGCAAAAAGCACAGCTGGAGACCTTGCTGTTGTGCAAGACTCCCCTGCCATTCCCCTGTCAGCAGCAGCCAATACTGAGGCCACTGGTCTGCAACAGGACTACATATAGGTCCTGTATAGGGTCAGTGCATGCAGGACTGGGAAGAGAGGTGGATACTGCCCATTGACTTCTTTTTCTATTACCATAAATGGCTGCCCTGAATGGCAGTTTGGGCTTGGTATTTAAGCGTCCCAAAGCATGATTATATCTGAAATTTCTATGATACTTTAAAGAAATGTCTCCCTCAGAGCCTCAAAAAACAGAACTGCAAATAGGGCCTATTTAAGAAAACACAAGGGCTCTTTCCTCACCCTCCAGAAAGGGGAATAGCAGTTTTAGTTTTCACCTCATGAAGGACTTTTTGAGCAGCTCATAGAGCCACCAGCACGATTCAGACAGTAACGATCAGACCTCACAGCACTCCTCTGCAATGCCTGAGGAGTTATCAGTGAAATGCTACTCCAGCATCTGAGACAAGTACTGGTTTTCTTCCTTCTTTTTAATTTCTTTCAATTTCTGCTTCACTGGGTTTTTCTTTTCTCACCACACTACTGGGAACTTTATAGGCACAGAAGAACAATTCAGAATGCAGAAGCAGCAATGTGACTTGGAATAAAAGAAGCAGATTGTGATGGGTTCAGAATTAGCCTGTAATCATTTATGGATTTCTGTGTTTCACCTAAAAGCTGATCTAACACTGAGAGACACTGGTCTGACAATGCCAAAGTTCATCTGTATAAAGAAAGGATGTGAAGAAACAACTCAAGATAGCCTTAACAGCAAAGATGGAAGAACTGTTCTAAAACAGTGTCAGGACTATTAGTTTGGATGGCTGACAGAAGACTTTGGCCAGCTTATCAAACTGATTAATCTAGGTTTATCCAAAGCCCTATAAACACAGAAATGGAAAATTCAGGCATGAATTAAAATGAAAGGTCCCTCAAGGAAAGCCTCCTTTTCCCATATCCTACTCCTCATCAACAAACACAAAATATTTCTCAGGTTTAAAGATGCTGCCAACCGAGCTACTGCACTCCTGAGCACCCACTGCTGAAAAGCTGGATGGGACATTTAATCAAGGTAGATAAACTTTCCCATGCAGAAAGCTAACGTGTGCACACGTGGCTAATCTGCCAAACCCCATGCCACCAGAGGCCCAGAACAGAAACATCTCCCCAGCACTCAGACACAATGAGTTACAGAGCTGCTCACGGAGACCTGTGTTGCCACAGCTAATATAAGATGTGTTAGGTCTACTCAGACTGGGGTCAGGTGTTTTACAGTTACACAGACTTGCCCTTAATTCTCGAGGGACTGATACAGATTATTTCTCTAATATACTCAAGTATAGTTTAGTAGAAACTTGAGTTTTCACATCCATATACTGAAATATACATAAATATTTCGCTAGATCTGGGCCAAAGAGCACAGCATCTTGCAAAAGCAATCTCAACATTTTGCAGCTAGAGACATTATGTCAAATCCAGTGAAGGCACTGAACTGTCAAAGGTTATTACCTTCGACAAGTCGGCAAACATCACAAAAAGCAAACACACCAACAAACAAAAAACTCACATTATTTCACATTGCCATCAGCTGCTGGTTCCAGACAGGAGGCAAAGAACCACATGAGATGAATTCAGTGCTGCCATTCCGTCCCTGCATAAGCCACCCCAGCAGCAATGCAGGTAACACCAGGCACTATGGCTCGTGACTCCATCTATATCATGGACATTAGCAGCACTGTCCTTCTCAAGGACTAGCTACAGCTCAGGCACTAACTAAACCTACTGTAAGGCAATTTTTCATTTTTTCCTTTAGGATTGGAGGAGGGGAACTCAACTGTTACAACCCTGTTGTGACAACATTCAAATCTTCTTTCTGCTAAAGATTTTCTTGTGTGGCAGCAGAGAATTCACAGCAGGAAGATACCCAAAGGGTCCAAAGCACCAGGTCACCCAGCACTCAGCAGCACAGCAAGGGGACTAAACAAAGTATAGCCCCGGGGAACACTTAATGGCACTAGGCAGTGTCTTTGTGGGTCACATGGCAACATATAAACACTTGGAAAGTGCATCTTTCTTTTTATGGATCTGCTGAGAATTACTCTGTGCTTTGGGTAAAACAGCATTTTTGCCATAATCAGATGTTGTAGAGGTATATATGCAATAAAACAGACGTTCAGGTATTACTGTCCCATCTTCATATGATTGCCTCCAATTACCCTGTAACATTTACCAGCACACGTATCTGAAATAATGCTTTTAATTTTCAGTCAGGTATTCTGCAAGGAAACCCAGCTCAGAAACAGCATAATTGAATATATTGAGGAAGAAAATAAAAAGAAAATTTTGACTCGATGGTGTTATTTAATAGCAGTGCAAGTACTTACCAGGTGGCCTATTAATTGCAAGGTTTCGGAAATGACTGCCTTTGATCATCTCCACTGACAGCCGCCCTGTAGTGGCATTGTATGACAAGCCCACGAGCAGCTCTGGCACCCCTCCATGCGACAGGGACTGTGTTGAAGAAGCGCTATCACTGTGAGAGATTGCTGACAGACTAAGCTGAGAATCTGCACTCTGCGGGGAAAGAGCACTGAGAGAATCATCAGGACATTCACCACCACCACCCTCCCTCAATTTGTATCTTGTAGCCTTGTTTAGTAAGATGTCTTTTATGAAATTACGCTGGGACACCAGAAGAAATCAGACCATCAGTTTTACAAAAACACATTTCTGAGCTTTCTCTTTAAAGATGAGGAGCTCTGCATAATGTGTTATCACAAGTGTAAACCAAAGCCTCTGGGACAAGCAAACATTCTACTACATCAAATGCACAATAACTTTCCTTGATAATTATTTCGGATGGAATACAGCTTGCAGTGTGGAGTGTTTTGGTCATGTACTGTTTCATTTTCTTGCTTTCTTTCCTTGCTACCACAATGCTCTCTCTATCCCCTCCTTCACCTGGAGTATGATGTTTTATTCATTTCATGTGCACAGCCTCTCACTGAGCTTTTTGTAGACAATGAATCATGACAGAGCTCATCTACACAAATTGATTGGCATAGCCAGAGCTGGATACAACTGTGATGTGCATGGAAGATTAGGAAGCAGCACAGCCAGTTCCTCCTCACATGACCCACCTCTCCAATCTGTCATGAGAAGGAACATTACTAAGCATATCTGGCAATATGGAAACTGCATAATGTGGAGATCCACAAGCTAATAACTAGAGGTAGCTCTTGCACTGGCAGTAGTGCAGGACCACAAACACAATGGTACACAAGAACCACTGTCCTGATTGAAATGGAGACATAATTAGCCTTGGTGGTTCCTGAACCAACCTACTATTTCTGAATGGCACAGCGTGTGACAACTCGTGTAGGTGTAGTACATCCACATGATTCTGTGCAAGCTTGCTAGCTGAGATGTTGTTAATAAAGCACAGCTCTGTGCAGGGAAGACATGCCCTGTGCATCCCCTTACCTGATAACTTTAAGTGACAGCAGGACAGATCCACTAGTTGCATCCTAACAGCCCTGAATGAAAGACACCACATACTGCTGGACCCCATTCACTGGGTGAATAATTTTAAAGACTCCATATATCTTTCATCAAACTTACACTCAGGTTACTCCTTGGCTCCAAGACCAGTGTCACCTTCATCTCCTCTTCCTGGGTGATGTTGTTCAGGTAGAACAGCTGCTCTCCCATCATCTTCTCTCCAATCATCTTGTGTACTGCATAGAGGCGGAAGCGAATAGCATGGGTGCTTAACTCCTCTGGTTCCAGCTTACTGAAGGTGATTCTGTCCTTAAAGATGGGGATGGGTCCTCTCTGAACACTCGTTTTACCCCTCTGTTTCTTGCCTGGCATCAGAACTATGTGCACTTGCCAGGTGTTCACACCGCTGCGGTCTTTGTCTGGGATATCCCTGGCCTCCAAGATAGTGACTACCAGCTTTTGACTTGAGGAGTTGTAGTGGAAGATGACATCTAGATCACCACATTTGCAGATGGGCTCATGAGAACCATGATGAGCTGGCACACTGTTCACTTCATTATGTTCCTGCAAAGAGAAGGAAGAAGTGAAACCTCCACTGGAGTTCAACTGCCTCTGTGACCCCAAACCCATTTGAAAAAAAAATTGCTCTCCTCACTTGTGCTTGCAAGTATAGGCAGATGCTGTGCAAAGTACAGATCCCATTGTTTCTTGAAAGGCTAAGTTAATTGTCTGATTTTGTGTAATATTCCCCATACACTCTAGTAATGCTGAAACATTTCCAAAGCAAAGTTTCATCAATATTTAAATGTCTTGCAGGAGACAGTTACTTTGACAAACACTCTACATAGGGAAAAACCGAATAAAGGGGTTTTTACGTTTCATTCATGTCAATTTTGAGGCACTAACAAGATGTTTTGGTTTCATTTGCTTACCAATTTAACCTTTACTTTGAACGTACACTAGAAAATTTTTTTCAAAATGGACTTTTTTACATGATCAAAATCAAACAATTCAGACAATCCTGCTAACTTTTTGGATATTTTGTTCTGCTAGAAATTAAAAAAATTAAGCGCTGTGTTCAATTTGATGGGAGAGGAAATCACTGTGTCAGAATTTCTTGCAGAATGGAAATTCCATCTCTAGACTCAACTCTATAATTCAATACTTTTCTCGCAGCTAAAGCAATGATAATCTAGAAAAACAGTCTGATTAAATACATATTGATTCTTTGTATCCTTTTTAAATCTCCCAAGAGAAGCATCTGCTCCTTCTGTTCAGTTTGGATACTAATACATTCAGAATAAAAATTCAAAATAAACAATCACAATATGTGCAGACCAATTCACACACAATCTTTTACCTACTTTAAAAACAAAACCCATCTTGATAAAACAAGATAAAAACATGGATGCTCACCTTACCTTTTGCTGAGTGGGCGTGCGCATTTCTGTTCAAAAGTGCTTTTTTATCTTAGAGCTAGAATGTGCTTCATGTGATAAAGGGGTTGCTATAGTGATCAATGATTTGTATTTAAACATGAGTATACACTGTACTAGGAAAGATTTTCAGTTAATAGCCAGAGGGTGAATTAAGGCCTGTCACCAGCATCTGAGTCACCCTCCTCCTCAAACATTTATCTTCTTTCGCATTTCAAGTAACACTTTTTTTTTTTCCAACACAGGAATCTTATTGTTCAGAGAACAGATGATGGGCCACGGGACTTCTGATGTCAGTCCCTTCAGAAGTGTCTAGGGTGGTATGTGTCTCAAACAAGACCTTGGATAAATACCAAAATTTATATTTCCTTCCTGCCAATCTACTTTTTAAGCACTCAGATTCATTTGCCATGATGCACAAAGCTACAGCTTTTCTCATTTTTGGAGGTGTTTAAGACTTGTGCACATGAACACAAATGTCCATGTGTGCACATTACTGATGGAGACCTGTTGTTAGATGTCTTGCAGAAGTAATGTCAAAGGGTGAAAAAGCACTGCTTGGACAGGACACAAAATGACTTGGCCACTCAAACAGCCTTCTTTATGAACAGCAGGCTGCAAAACCCAAAACTGCAAGGTAGGCCAGGCTGCCTGGAGAGAGCGTGGTGTTATGCAAACGTTAAGTGCTGCTGTGTAGCTGTCAAGTTATTTCTGCCTGGTTGATGAAATAATATTTAAGAAGGAAACGTAATGAGATTGAGCTTGACTCATATTTCCCTCCACATTTTCATCCCACCCTGCTTTCATCTTTGCATTTGCTATTGAGGAGATGGAATCAAGGCACATTCAAGAACTGCTGCTAAGGTGTAGAGACAACTTGTGCTTGCAGCATAACTTTGCTTTCATCTCCATATCTGAGCTGGAGAACACAAACTCCAGTGTGTCATTGTAAACCCACAGGTACAAAAATCTAAGAGGCACTTTCCTGCCCCAGCAGGGCTTGAGTATCTCATTTGCTGGCAGTGTGTAGGGCAGACTGAAGGTTAGCTATCTGTTTTTTGTCCGAACAGTTAAAAGAGATTAGGATTTCAGGAAATGTCAGATTGTGCTACTAGAGCTGTGACCACATCCACTGCACAGAAAACTGGAGGCAGAGAGGGAAAGGGAAATGCCAAACTCCATGGCAGTAACCTTTCCATGGTCAACCAGGCTTTGGAGATCTCATGGACTGGCCCTTTCAGAGAGCACTGTGCTATCCAGGACTCAGCCCTGTACAGGCTTACTACACATAGTAATCTTCCTTCTGTGGCAGTCATTGACAGAATTCCCCTTGGTGTTCAGAGCTCTGCTGGGCTACAAGTGCTTTGTGAATGTATTGGTTATACAGACACTTAAATTGGAATCCAAGGAAAGTGTGGGGCTTAGATACTTCATCTTTATTTTCCTCTTCCCAGCACAGCTGATGAGAGGTCAAGCCAAGTCATACTGATTGACATTGTATGTCTAACCTGGTCATTCAGGACAGCCAATAACCACTTCACTAAGTAAAATAAGTCCATTTCTGCCAGAGAAACCTGAAAGAGCAGCTAATTATGGACAAGGCTTGAAATGGTACTTGTGGTTCCACTGCAGGGGCATAAAATTACCATTTCATCTCTAAAGAGAAGTCCTTTGAGTGGAACATAATAGCGCTTGGACATTTCTGGCATGTCAGAACATTTAGTTCCTGCAATAAAAATTCTTTCATTAATCCACACAATACCTTTGGATGGGAAGCTGCTTGTGGTAGATAAACTGGGTCTTGGGCATATCTGCCCCCTGATGCTATAACCATTCTTTGCATTTTTAAAATGTAGATAACCAGGAGCAAAATTAGAGATGTATTCCAAAGAAATAAAAGAGGACACCGGAGACAGTGTGGCGTATGGGAACCACAGCAATGTACATTAAATGTGGATAAGGAGAAATGAGCCTCAGCTGGGCAGGCAAACAGTGTCAGAGGCACACAGCAAAGAAGGGAAGGGCTGCTGCCACGCAGAGTTCCCATGTGTTGTGCAGTGTTTTGTGGGACTGGACTGTGCAGCAAACCAAAATGCTGTTCAAAACACCCCTTAGGGCTGGAGCATATGCACTGAGGAGCTGCCTTCCATCTCTTTAACTGGCTGCAGACAGTATGCTCTGAGGAAAGGAACATTTCCCTCAAAGTCTTGCTGCTCAGAGTGTGATGGAGGCATTAATTTCCACAGCTGAAGAACAGCCACTTTTAACTCAGGCAGAAGATGTGACCTTTGTGCTGTTCTTTTAATATGTCTGATGCAGGCTGATATTTTTTCAGAAATTTAATCTTGTGGTAAAATAATGAAAGCCAACACATCATACAGAGAGATTAGGAGGGAAAAGGGGGATGCCTAGTCATCAGGTGTTTACAACGCCTTAAAATCTGTAATGTTTTCTTGAGGCTTCATAAGAAAGGTGCAGAACTATGGGAAAGCAGCCCCAGGTTCTCTCCTTCCCTAAAAGGTTGCCTGGTATCAGTTGGGACCAGAGTGATGGTCACTTGGCCAAGTCACAGGCCACCCTCACCAGCTGCTTCCAGCTTTCCAGGTACTTCCCATTGTCTAAGTCATAGAAACCACCTGGAAAAAGAGGCAGAGGTCTGACCCAGTGACCACATACCATGTCCTGAGGCACACACCCTGCTCGTACAGCCAGTGACAAAGCCTTGGACCAAAATAGAGTGCTCTTTGCTAAATGACAGTAAATGCTGTCAGGAAGCTAATGGCTCCAATTTCAGTTCAGAGACTGCAGTCAGAAATCAAGCAATAAAACAGTTTCTGTGAATTAACGTTAGTAGCAAAAGGTAAAATACCAGAAAAAGGGTAACAAAAAGAGGGGTGTATGTTCATGCATACATGCACACAGGAGTACCATTATCTTGTGTTGTACTGATCCGTTTTTCACTTCCTTTCTCCACTAATATTTTTTGGCCCCCGATATACTTCAAAAGCTTACACCATGTGTAATAAATGACAATTCACCATACCTCAGGGCTCCAAGCCGATGAGCTGTCAGTAGCATCATTTACTTCCAATCTTTGGTTGGCAAATGCTGTCTCCATTTCCAAATGTCTTTCCATGTCTGCCCGGCTAACACCATCCACAATGCTGGGCTCCATCCTGGGCCCTTTATGCTGCCTAGCATCCCTGTTCCTGGTTGTTGTTCTTGAATCAACAGATACATGGTCATCTTCATGATAGGATATGTTGTCTTGGTAACTCAGTTGGCTTAGTCCATCCAGATCTAACAATTTTCAGCAAGAAAATAATTTCAGAAGGATTAGAACAAATTCCTCCCCCTATATTTTCCAAAATGTGCCTTTCTCTCCTTTCTTTTCTTTTTTTTCCCTTTTTTTCCCCCCTCATCGCCAATTCCTGCAAGAGGCCATTTCTGAGTACTACAGCACTGAACTTATAAAATAACAAATCCTGTGTAAATCAGCATTTGATAGAGGGGATGTGTCTGTTTCTCACCCCATCCTGAACTGAGAAACCTGTGCATTTACCTGAAGAGGTTAACCACCAAATGCAATGATCAGTGGAATGTCTGGGATATTCAGTTGCCTCAGGACTGCTTTGTGACCCCAAAGCAATCACTTCTATGAAAACACAGGTCAGACAAATTACAGAAAAGCACAGCATAGGCCTGATGAACAGGTATCACAATTTTCTGAGGAGAAGGAGGAGGAAAAGACAGGAGGTAGCATTGTCCTCGAGGGGATAGTGCTGGTGAGGAAAGGAGTTTCATGGAGGTAACAGAGTGCCACCAGGAGAGCTCGTGTGTGCATGACCAGCCCCACAAGCCAACTAGGAATCTCCAAATCACACGTTCAGGCTAAACTGTCTCAAGGACAACTGAGAGGAGATGTGTTCCCTAATTACCTGCTTGCTTTTATTAGTTATAATTCATCTGATCCTACATACTTACTCCATGGGCTCAAGTAAGGTTCATTAATGACAAATAATCTTCTACGGCTCAGGCCACAGATTCCTGCTCTACACCACTGAAGTCTCTATTTTGAACACATGGCACTTTTTGCTACTCAAAGGCACCAGTGAGAGCTCTCTGCATGGAGCAGCACAGACAATCACATGTGCAGGGACACAGATGAAAATCACATCATGATTTGGCCTTGAATGTATCCTGATGCATATCTGTTACACACACACACACACACACACAATTCCCACAAGAAGAATGGGGATTTTACTCAGGAAACATTTCCTGGAGGTGTACAGTAGTCCTTGCCTCTCTCTTTGGCTGCTCTTTCAATTTAACAGCTCAGAAATTAAGAGAATAACTTTATCCCATTTCTTCAGCTGCGAATGATCTCATATTCTCCCAGTAAAATGCTTCAAACACAGGCACTTCAATAGAGAAGTCTGGGAGCATCTCACAGCTTTGTAATTATGGTCCTCTTCCTCATGGGAGATGGTCCTTCAGGAGCAAAGAGGAATCCAAATTCATATCTCTCAAATTCCAGGTAGGTGCTCTGCTCACTCCCTTCTGACTTGCAAACCCCATCTCTTCTCCTCCTCAGCCTCCCAGATGGCAGACCCAGTCCTGAAACCAAGAGCCCTCATTGTCTAGCCTCTGCCCTGAGCTGAAAGTCTTGAGTGAGGGTAGAAACTAATTTGACTTCTTTGCCATTACTTCCCTTCTTCTCTACAAAGTAAGGAAACAGAAGTAAACATAAGAGCGTAAGCAACAAATAAAACAACAGAAATTCCACACATTTACTGAGACTGAATGGATGCAGGCACTCCTTAAGGCATTTAATTAGCAAGCCAATGTCTAATACACATTTTAAACAGTGGGTCATCCATCAAAGCACACACCACACAGCAGGCTTTCAGAACAAAATGCTTCTGTAGTAAGAAATTATCCTCATACAATTGTCTTGTGGTTTTGACTCCTGCTGGGATAATATCTAGATCAATAATAGAGGAATTTTCAAAAACTACATTAAAGCCATAAAAGTCTATTCGTAACAGGAGAACTCCAGAAATATATTAATAGAGCAAGCCATCTCCCCAAGACTCAGGCACAAAATGAATGTGTTAGGAAAGCAAATGTAGTATTCAGGGAAAGGAAGGGAGAAGGTGATTCACCAAAACCATTCAGGGAAACAGTCTGGCTTTTTCTTTAAATTTAAAGTAGTTTGGTAAGAGATAATAACATATAAATACCAGTATTAAAGGATCATTGCAGGTAATAGCCCAACTATACAGACTAGAGCAACTACACCTCTCCAATTACATTCATTCGAACATTATATTCACAAAATAAATGGTGAAAACAAAAGTTCTTCCTGTAAAGGAAAAGGTCAGAGCAGTAAAATGCCTGTAATTTACCTGAGAGATCTTTAAGGAAGAAAATGTCAACTGTCTTATGAATACCTGACGTGAATAAACAGCACAGCATCAGGGATATAGGTTGAGACAGCATTATCTAACCATCTGAACTTTAATTAGCCAAGAGTCCCTGCAGAGCAATAGCAGCCAACTATAAAATTAAGGGTACTGTACACTAAAAAAGTGTAATTTCTCTTAAGAATCCTGTCCCCCAAACTCTCCCTGCCATGTCACATGTCCACGAGCTACAAAGGATACAAGGGGAATAGTGGGGAACAGAAATCACCAATAAATCAGAAAAGTTTGTATTCACAGTTGGCTGCGAAGAAACTGTGAATTTTGTCAGATGAAAGGATGAGCATCACTTCCTAATAGAACTCTAACAGGAACTGGGATATGGAAGCATCTCTCCAAAGATACAGGGAAGGTTTGGCACATCAAACACTGAGAAATCAGCATGGAAAATACTGTGAAGTCCCCTCTCATACTGGCAGGTAAATGCTCTGGTTAATCTACAGTATCTTTCTTTTTTTTCAATGACACAATCTCTCAGTTCTATGAAGCATTACAATGTGCCCAAGAGAGGTCTCATCACTTCCTCAAACACAGTACCAGAGCTGATGAAGCCTGGTAGATCTTGCTAAATTAACACCACATAGCTCACTGATCAGCAAGACACACAGATAAAGAGTTTATATGTGCCTGTTACCTGTGCTGACCGAGGCCATATTTGTTCCCTGGACTCCAGGGAATCATTGTGCTTTCACCAAAAAAACCCCAAACTACGCTTTTCTTTGTGATTTTCCAAAATGCAAGAAATGTGATCTCTTCTTTAGACTGTATATAAACTCATGGTGAAAGTTAAGAACCTGTTAAAATATGATCCAGGATTTCAGTATGGATCTAGGTACTCCTATACTTGAAATCCTCCTAGCTACAGGCAGTGATTTTCAAGCCCCTCTTCCTAAAACACAGTAACAGCAGCAGAGATAGGAGTTAGTGAGGCTGAGATACATTTGTTCTCATACAGCAGCAAACCTCTTGCCTGGCCCTTGCTACAGCCCCAGTTCCAAATCCACTCTGCGTTACCCCAGCACCATGGGCACCCTCACACCAAGCCAAACCTGGTGCAGTGAGACAGAGCAGTGCTCCTGCCCCTGGTTGTTTTGAGATTAGTCATCAAAAAGTGCTAAAAAGCTTCCTAGGAGAGCCTCAAAGGAGCAGAATCATTATCTAATTACAATAAATCTAAACAAAAATGGCTTGTAAATTTTAGGGGTTAAAGAGAAAAAGGATCTTAAATTTCAAGTGACATTATGCAATCAGGCCAAGATTGTTTAATTTACCACATGCTGGGTAATAGCCTGAGAAGACTCCATGTTTCCAGAACTAAAATAGGCTCTTTATTAACAGGGTGATTTGCAGAGAGGCTGTGGGCAGAGCTGGCATTCAAGCCGTTCAGCTCCCCAGAGCATCTCCAAACATTTCCTTCCTGCGGTGTGCACTCCTCTTTCCAGTATCTTTTCAGGTTACTACAAAGATTTTTAACAGGTGAAAAGTTAAAGCTAAATGAGTCCAAAGTGCAGACTGTCATGGCATTGATAACAGAAACAGAGGGTCAAGGAAAATCTCATGTAAGAACATGATGTGAGAAGACTTTGCCGTATGTCAAGGCTGAGTGGGAGAGAAGCTATTCAGGGCTCTCCAAGATGCTCAACTTCACTGTGTGCTGAAGTTTGTAAGAGATTTCTGATTCTGTAAGAAATGAAAATTATCAGCAATATGAGTAAAAGGTCGGTTAAGAGAACACAGGGAGAAGAGAAGTCTCAGGCAGAGTCTAAAGAAGGTATAAACATGCCATGATTGCATCCTGGACTCAGCACTTTCAAAAGATCTTTCATCCCTCCCACCCAGAGAGGCCCTGAGAATCTGCTCAGCTGGGACAGTGTTTGATACACCCTCGGGGCACAATGACAGCTTGATGCCCATAAATCTCTCTGTTCTGTGACCATGGCACCAACTAGGGGCCAAAATGGACTCACACACACATGAAGTTCTCAGTCCAGCAGCTGGGGGGTAGCAGGATGTTGAGATTCTCTAGCATTTACCCCAACCACTCAGATTTTCTCCCAGATAAAGTTCTCAAATCAGGAGCTGTAGGGGTGTGCAACTATCACTGTACACCCAGTAACAGCAGCTCTACATGCTCAGAAGCCTTTCTATGTTTGAGGTCCACTCAGCAAACCCAAGGATTGGTTTATAGGCATTTGTAACAGAGTCTAATCTCGAGTTTAGTGAGGATTGGGGCAGAGGACCGAATGTCTCAGTGATGCAGGCTTCAACACTTGGCTTCATCTAGTTTCTGAACACCTATTTAACCAGTATTAACATTACCTCTGAAAAGAAAAGTAAGAGCAGTTCTGCACCAGAAGAAGAGCTCAATAGAGAGACATATCTTCAAATGATTGCTCCATTTGGAGGGTGCATTAAAATCAAGCAATTATATTTCAAAATTAAAAAACATTCTATGGAACTAAAAACAAAGGGCACTTTCATGGCTCTTCCCTCAAATGAACCTCTCCAGATTTTAGAATGTGTTCAGGCCAATTTTCTAAATAACTACATTTTTTAATGCATTTCATCTCTGTTTGTATAAAAGAGTCATTACATTAGTCCATAGAAGATCATAAAAGTCTTCCCTCCTGTGCCATAAATTTTTAGTTTCTGTCATTGCCTGACATTTGGTGTATGTGCTGGCAAATGATACAGCATAATTCATTCACTGTTCACCTTGTGTTTGCAAAGTTGTTACAAAAGGAGACATTCAGCTTCTAAAGCTAAAAGGCTTGCTAAAGAGATGATTTATGTGGCACAGATCAAAAATAATTA